GATATTTTACCACTAAGGCTGTGAGTTTCTTCTCGTCACTCGCCTCTAAAATTGATTTCATTTAGGGTCAATCGAGTTTTTTGCGAGATATGTACTCCATACGTGTATCAAGAAATGAACCTCCTCGAGCCCGTCGACAATCGAACCCATCACATCGCCCGGCTGTACGGTAGACACGTCCGTGCTATTCGCGTCTTCCTAGGCACACGAAAGAGCAAGAAGACCGGCGCCGATAGTAGCGACTGTCCTAGCGACGTTCCGCGGAGTGTGGACATTTACTCTTTCTGCCTAGAAACCCAGTATATAGCTTTCTACCACGCCCACGCGACGATGTACAGCCAATTTCAAGCGTATAAGGAAAGATCAATCGCACATATGTCGTTTCTCCTGCATCTTGAAAAGTTGGACACCATCGGCGTCCACTTTTTACAAGAAAAAATTGATTGGATGATGGATCAAGTAGAATTTATCGCTCGCCAAGTTCTCACAATAGCTTCATCAGATCGAGCCAGTCGCATCAAAAGACTGGAACTCTCCATACCCACCTTGAAGGCTTGTGCCGAAGACTTGCGAACTAAGTTTACCTCTCTCGAGCATCTTTCGATACATACGAGCCCCATACCGTATTATCTCTCCAACGTTTCTCGTCCAGAAGCATTGGATTGGTCCGCCTACAGCAAACTCACAACCATGAGCCTCTCTCGTTCCCGACACGACTCGACAAATTACACCCGCAAAGTTCCCGAAATGGTTCGACAAATTCCGTCCCTACAAGAGCTCTTCATATCCGATGTAGCGGCGATCAACGAGGAGGAAACGGTAGCAGTGAGACCGGTCGGGTGGAGTCATTTACCAGACGAGTGGTGGAATCAACGGAAACCCCTACGATACCTTGACATTGAGGCAGCTCTCAACGGGACCATTTACTACCTCAGCGCCATCCCCGTCGACAAGGTACGAATCGTCCTCCAAGGGTCGAGAGTAAACTTCAAGTTTCTCTCAGCAGACGAAGAAATGTTTCCTCACTTGCGGGTACTTGATCTGGA